TAGGTCTGTGAAATCTATGCACATTCTCATCTTCCCATTTGTCTTTGGCACAAATACTACATTTGCCATCCACTATGAATATTTGACTTCTCTGATAACATTTGCGTCTAGCAATCTCTAGACCTATGCCTTCATTGCTAGAATTTTGTCTTCTGACATCTTCCTTTGTCGTTGCTTTCTTAGCCTTAATTTTTTATTTAAGTCATGTGAATGCTGAATTATGTCTCTACCCACTGACTCCTTGTAGATCAGAGGTTGACCAGGCGAAGCCATCTTTGTTTTTGGCTAGAGTCTCTATTAGTTTTTCTTCTTCTTGCTTGAAAGTTTGCCTCCGATAATTACTTTTATGTCCGGCACTGCATTCTCCAGGGGGACTAATTTTGTTTCTTCTTGGTCCTTGAGATCTGTTTTGCCCTTCGGCATATCCGGAGGCTTCGGTGCATTGCTATTGGCTGTCTCGATGGAATTGATGTTGCACTGGGACTTGTAGATGGCTCTTTCTATGTTTCTTGCCTCCTTCTGGCTACCGTGAACTGTGATGATACCGTGCAAAGCAGGCATTTTCATGCACAGGTAACCCATATGGATTGCTATATTAAACTTATTTGCAAACCCTCTGCCGAAGACGGCGTTGTACGGGTAGTAAACGTCTACTACGTCGAAGGTTACATACTCGGTTCTTGCATTTTCTTGACCTCCGAAGGACACTGGTAGAGAGATTTTTCCTAATGCATCAACTTTCTTTCCTTCAAAACTAATCAATGGGGAATCCGAAGGTTGTAGTTGGCTTCTTCTTAACTTCATCTGGTCAAAGGCATTGATGAAGATGATATCTGCTGAGCTCCTGGAGTCTATCAGGACCCTGTTAATTTCCCAGCCGGCTATGTTGTCCTTGATCATCATAGCATCAGTGTGGGGATAACTTTCCAACTACAAGTCTTGCTCTAAGAATGTAGTAGGTGTCTTCGACCAATCTATGCAGCGTACTGGACCCTGCACTACTTGTTGTTGACAAGCCTGAGATGATCTTTCTTTTACTTCTTTGTCTAGAATTCTATTGAAGAGCCTCTGATTATTGGTAGTATCATGCCAATGGTAGGTAGTGGTGTATGAGGGTTGAGCTGGTTTTCTGGGTTGGGCTCATTTTTGGGCGTAGCTAGCTGCGACGGAGGTGGTGGTGGAGGTAATGCTTAAAGTTGTCTACTATGAAGAGCTGGCTGGTTTGTCTCTATAAATGTTATCTGCGGAGGCCTTGGGTTTATGTATGTGAGGTTGGCTTCTGCACACTGGTTACTGGCCTACCCTTGTTGCTGTGTAGTTGGTCGCTAGGCGGGTAGGAAGTTAGGGTAGTATGCAGCTGCTAAGGTGGATGAGTGGATTTGACTAGAGTTAAGGCTTGGGTAGATTGTGTAATATGGCTGTTTAGAGGGTGCAGCGAAGGTATGGTTGATTTCTTTGGTGGGTTGTTGTTGCGGAGGTTGAGGGTTTGCCCTATTCTTTATCCTCTCTTGAGTTTCTTTCGCGTGTGGGCAATCTCTGGTGATGTGTCCTTTGTTCTCTCCATGAAAGAAACAGTACTGCCTTCGCGGTCTTTGTTCCTGATTTTTGTTTCAGTTCTTCCTTTGATTGTATTTCTTGCCTTCATACTACTTCTGTGGTGCTTTGTTTGGGGCTACCTCCGGCATCTGCTGCCGTTGCTAGCTGTTCCCTTGCTGCTCTATATTAAAATCTTATTGATTTAGCGCTTACTGAGGCTATGACTGGCCTTGGCTTCTGTTGCTCCTCTGAGCATTCCTGCTACTCCCTTGGTACTGCTTGTTCTAATTTTGCTCTTCCAGCCTTCTGCGAAGGTCGTTATCTGACTTGCAATACTTCTCAAACTCACTGTATAGTTCTTCTATGGTGCTTGGCTTCTCCCGAGCTAGATGGGCTGCGAAGGCTCCGATGCGGAGACCTTTAATTGCGGCCTCGATTGCCACATCCTCTAGGACATTTGGTGCATTCACTTTAAGCTGCATGAATCTCTGAAAATAATCCCTCAGGGCTTCACCATGATTTTGTTTGCACTAAAATAAGTCCATTGATGTTAAGGATTAGGTGGTGAACCCTTTGAAATTAGCATTGATCTTATCGCGGAGGTCATCCCATGAATATACTAAACTTGGCCTCAACATTGAGTACCATGCCAATGCATCACCTTCGACTGCAATAACAAATGACTTGGCCAAGACAGTGTCATTCTCGCCTGCGGAGGCTACAGCTGCCTTGAAACTCATGATGAACTGGCGCGGATCGGATCTCCCATTGAATTTGGGTAGGGTAATGGGTTTATAGGAGGAGGGCCAGGGTGAGTTTTGGATTCCTTCGGACAATGGGGATTTGGAGTCTATAGTTCTATGGACCAGTGGTAAGGTGTAAGGAGTGCCAAAGGTTGGTTGGGCGGCCATTCTTAGCGAAGAGTTGGGTTGGCTTTGATTCGCTGAATAGGGCTGGCTGGGTGTGTTGGAAGGAGGCTGGGTGAGTTGCATGCTTTGTATTTTAGCTTGCAGAACAGCCAGCTGTTGCCTGATCTCCGCTAACCTATCTCTCTGTTGCTGCGTACTCTACAACTGAGCTTGGAGCTGTTGGAGCACTTGCTCTAGGGTTGGTTCTAGCGCTGGCTGCTCCTCTATCGCCACAAGCTGATCCTCTGCAGCATCTTCTTCTATGTCTAGCTCTTCGATAGCAGTAGCATAGGTGCTGCGAGCGTTACGCCTGGGCCTTGCCCTTCTGGTAGGCTCCGAAAGTGCTCTTGCAAGGGCTGTTCTCTTTCTTGACATTGTGGATTTCGCTTGGCCAACACGCGGTGGACGCTAATGTTGAAAAACTGGGTTTCCAGTAGGTGGGACATGAGGTGGCCTCCGCCCAGCCGGGTGCTCCGGGCGAAGGTAAGGAAGGTGACAGGTGGGTCTAGGCTCAATCAGGGTTTCATAAATGGTTTCACCCACCTCCCCTACATAGCATCTGGCTCTCCCTTATACAGGGTACTATTTTGCTACTGTTCCATTGTACAAATTTGCCCTATGACAACTATGGTACATTCCTAAAATATCCTTAGACTAGTATAAATCTTCAGGGACATCCCAGGTCTTTTCCTCCTGCACCGCCTTTGCTTCTCAGACCTTAGCCGTAGGCCCACGGGAGGCCTGTCTTCGACTCTGGGCCGCGGTGCTGCAAGAACCCCCTTCTCTTGGGCAGGGATCGCATGGCCTTCGCCCGAGCCGCCGGAGCATCCGCCTTCGTTGTGCGACCTCCGCCAAGAAACTCTTCCGAATATCTTCGGAGCCATGCTTGGGCCTCCGCCTTGCCAGCGGTCCGACATGAAGGCCCCTCCTGGTACACCTGCGCTTCATCACACATGTAAGCAGTTGATGTTATGTAGGAGCCTCCGCTACTCATATGTCTATGTCCCAACATGTATTGGTTGATTTTCATTTATGTAATATCATAACTTGAGATCTTTTGCTATGATGGTCTAGCTATGATTGTTTTAGGTCGACCTCCTACGTGCTCGATAGAAGCGTATTGTCGGTACGATTAAACTTTTTTTCTCAATATAATGATACGTAAATCTTTTATGTACTCGGGAATAAAAAACATGTGGATCGAATCAATAACGCACTGTACTACTACTATCATATCATCGTCCCGGCCCCCTTGTATCGCGCGCAGCGAATGCAAATGGGAAGACTCTGCCGCGTTGTTGGTTTATTTTGCACATTTCTGGCGCGTTGAAAAGGTAAGACTGCAGAGGCATTTATTCTATCTATACAAACAAACAATAGTATTAAAAAGAACCCAGGATCATCAAGATAGTCTAAAATTACTGTATAATATTATAATCAAAAGAATATATACACCATTAATATTCTTGATGATTTGACCGCCTAGATTTCCGAACAAAATTATTATGCCACGTACAGTATCTACGCTTAAATAAATAATAACTTTCCTTCACGCCTATGATGTTTCAAACTAAACAGTATTCTTTTTTTATAAAAAGGTACGTACGTGTCGAATCGTAATCAAGTAATATTTTTGTAGCCATTATAAACTCGAAACTCTTTTGCTGTCAATAAACCTGTCTTCAAGAAAAGATGCAAAAGGCATTGAGACCAATATATAATGCAACCATGTATTATATGTGGCCTAATCATGGGTAGATTCATCAAAAAGGTTTACGAAATCGTATTGTTCTGGGTTTTATAGGATAGGAAAAAATTAATTAATCAATCCAATCAGTGTAATTTTTGATACTACAACCAGTGCAATTTGATATTACTAATCTTTAATCAAATATTATTTCATACATGGAATGGACAAACTTTATTGAGACGGATGGAGTAAGCTAAAATTTTAGGTGGCATTGTTTGGTTTGCTCGTATAGTAGTAATATTTTCTTACTTATTATAGTTGCGCTTTTGGTAAGTAAAATTTTGTTTTTGTTATGTTAGGTACCTTAGTCTGGCTGTACAAAAAGCAAGAGTTTATTTTGCCTATACTCGTTCAAATCATAAGGTGAAAATTTGGACTTGAAGCCATGCAATTCCAACCAGCTGTGAGGCTAGAGCACAGCCGTGGAGTGGACCGGAAAGGAGACAATCCTCGCACATCTTTAGGGCTTATTTGACAGGGATACTCTCCGGTTCTGGCTCTTCCAGAAAAGCCCTACCAAATGTTTTTCTAGACTCTGGAGGAACCGTTTTTTAATAAAAAAAATAGAGGAGCCAAAACCGTTTTGAAGAAGCCACAAATTGTGGCTCCTCCAAAAAAGCTCTGACTCATTCGAAGGAGCCCCTCAGGAAGAGCCGTGCCAAATACCCCCTTACTTAGCTGTGCATATACTATATTTAACTGCACATTGGTATAGCACACAATTTACACTTTGGCATACGGAAGAAACAGATTCGACACAATGCTTCGCGATGAACCGTTGGAAAGAAGACAACAACTCTGACGGCCTAGTTGATCCCAAGGAACTCGCTCATGGAGAGCAAATCGCAGAACCCTCCTCCCTGCACGTCCAACTGATCTGCCGCCGCGTCGAACTCCCAGCACATGCCGCCGACGCCGAGCCCGTGCAGGGAATCCACGGCACCGCACGACCCGTCGACCTGCACGGACCCCTGGTGGCTCAGGCCCTGCTGGGCCGGGCTGCGGCCGCCCACGTCGAAGACACCGGCGTCCGGACCCAGTGCCACCAGGCTGGTTCCATAGTCCATGTCCAGCCAGTCCGCGAACATGACCTTCGGGAGCACGGGTGCGTGCGGTCGCACCGCGGTGCCCGCGCCCGCAGGCTCGTTGACGGTGAGGTAGCTGGAGTGGTCGGCCGAGGATGACTCCACGGCCGGCTCGGATGAGTCGGAGTTCGCCGGCCGGCTGACGACGACAGACCCCTGGCCGTTCTTGCTGGGGTCCGGGCTCCCGTGCACGTCGGAACGGGCGGGTGTCGCCGGGTCCGCCGCGCCCTGCTTGCCCTGCGCGCCGCCCTCGACGCGCTTCTTGAGGTACGAGTTCCAGTAGTTCTTCACCTCGTTGTCGGTCCGGCCTGGCAGATGCCGTGCGATCTGAGACCACCTGAGGCACAAGAATTTTCCAGTGTCAGAGTCGGTCATAAAAAAAAGTTACGTTAATTACTGACAAAAACTACAGCTCGATGAAACTTCTTGTGTGTCGGCGGGCACATTTTTTGCATCTCCATCACCGGCGTTTACTCGTGTAGCTTTCTATTATACTATATGTATAGGGAGAAAAAAAAACTTGGACATGACGTGTCCGTAAGAACTATGACGACACCTCTGTTTTTTTTCTTTTTTCCTTGGGATAGTAGGATGCCAGTAGGATTATATATAAAATTACGAATCAGTTCAATACACTACCACTTGTCGTGAGTACTACTAGTATACTTACAGGTCTTCGTTCATCTTGTCAAAGTAAATGATTTTGATAGTTGACACTTGTATTTATAAATCGTTGCATCAAGAACGGTATCGTGTTTTTGTATAGTGTATGTACAAAACCGGAACTAGATAAAGTACTGGGGCGAATTAAAGTAAGCTTTACTTGCAGCAGGAAGCAACTACAGCACCTCCTCCAGAGAGAAAGTAGTAGCAGACACTGCCTTTTCTTGCCCATTTTCTTTTTTCTTTTATTTTTCATTAAACAAATGAAAGAGATGCTAGCTAACAATCATCAATTTGAGCACTGGGAAAAGATGCAATCGAGTATCTCGATAGCCGATATGGAGCGCAGATGTCAGCATCAACTCCACCACTTAAAGCGGTCTCCACGTTAAACATCAGCATTTCTCCTTTTTCTTCGCACTGATGAACACTTTTCTACTCTAAACTAACTGGATTTTCCAGCTTAACCACACTGCCAAGCACACACACTAGTAGCAAAGCTAAAAGCAGCCAGGTAGAAATGGAACGCTACTATAATCGTCTTCTAGCAGTACAAGTGTACTACAGGATAAAAGGCGAGGTGAAAATAAGCTGAGAAAGTGTGCGCGGTGCTTACTTGTTGCCCAGCTTGGCGTGGAGGTTCATGACGGTCTCCTCTTCCTCCCGGGAGAACATGCCGTGCTTCAGCCCCGGCCTCAGGTAGTTGATCCATCGCAGCCTGCAGCTCTTGCCGTTGCGCTGCAGCACTGAACGAGTGGCAATTCACACAGAATTCAGCACACGAGCGCCAGCGAGGTGCATTTCGCAATCACAAGGGATTCGTTATAACACAGGCATGCAAGAGCGCGCGAAATTGAAGAGCTACGACCCTGCTCTGAGAGCTGAGCAGCAGACTTTGCTAAAATTGCCTCCCCTTTCCTCTCCCAAAAGCCAGCAAGGTACATTTGAGAAACACGAGAGGAGGAACAAGCAGCTGCGAATTCAGAGCTCGGCGCAATGCAATTTGCTCGGCGCCCCTTCGAATTATTCAGGGAGGATTGTGAGCTAACGCGTGCGATTTCTTACCAGCCTTGACGGGCAGAGCGCTCCAGCAGCCGTGGCCGTAGCGGAGGATGTAGTCGCGGAGCTTCTCGTCCTCCTCCGGCGACCACAGGCCCTTCCGGTACTGCACCTTGGGCTTCTGGCATGCCTTGCACCCCATTATCTTCTGCTTGTTGCCAGAGGAGAAATAATGTCGCCGCAGAGAGCAGGAGGAAAGAGGAAGAAAGAAGGAAGGAGCACTAGCTAGCCTGGCAAGAGGATTGGGGTGCGCTTGCACTGTGGTGTCGGTCTTGCATGCGTTGCCGTGCGAGCAGAGAGAGCTAGCTGTGCGCACGACTTTATAGGGGTACGTGGGAACCAATGATGAGGTTGTTACTCGGAGTTGAAAACGGGGGGAGTATCTCTCTTGTACAGTTGTACTACTACAGTTTTATGTGGCGCTGATCTCCACAGGTTCTATTTCGAACGCCAGACATCTATTTTATCTTACTGTTACTAGATATATTACTAGACAGAGACACGTCGATTTCCACCATACACACTAGAAAAAAAAGTTAGACTCCAAAAATTCTCAATATGACCTTTAATTTAGCAGACTCTTATCATTATCATAAATAATACACAATTAGACTATTTACGTTTTACAAAAAAAATACTTACATCTATCACTATGAAAAATACACATTGCCCTATTGGCGATGGTAGATAAACTACAGGTTCATATTAAAATGTTGATAAAAAAATGAAATGATGTAAAACGAGCTTATATAGTTTAGGTTTCAACTCAATACATATTGCAACTAGAAAAAAGTAAATTACAAAAATTCTAACTAGAGGTCCTAATGAGGCCTCCACGTTAATGCTCACAAAGACCCGCTTGAAAAAAATCCTTTCAATTCTTATAAAATCCGTAAATATCCGTCTATTAATTCGTAGACTCTAATCAGTATCGATGATAATAATAGCCATTAGATCTATTCTATTTTATATATAAAAACCTACCTCTGCGATTTTGTAAAACAAAATAAAGTAACTAATGGATCTATATTTAAGTTATCCATGTGTGCTACTAAAAACAGGAATAAAGTAAACCTAAATTTACATCTATTTATCTACATGCTATTATGATAAATTACCTATGTAACCCCTTAAAGTTGCTTCTAAAGTACCACTTTTATCATTACTAAAAAAACTAAAATATCCCCTCAAATTTACATCTAAGCTATATACATCTTTTAGTACAAAAGGTTAAATAAACCATTATTCTAGAATTGCATTCTTATTGTGACAGAGGGAGTAACTTTTTATTTGTTAGGGATATTAAACAATAATCAATGCTTATGTCTTCTAGATTCTAGCTCGTGCAAGAGCACAACTGAGTGGCAGATGGAGTGGGGCTAGGGCCTGGCACCCCAGACCTCCTGGATGTCCCATAGTACAATCCTCATCATTTAGCTAATTTAACGATGCTACTTATTAAAAAGTGTTTTATTTGCTAGCTCTCTCTTTGTGTTAATCTCTAATAACACTTAATATGATTTATGATTAATCTTCATGTTACCTTCCCCCTCTCTGTTGTTCTTGTTATTGTTGTTGTAGTTTTTTTTGCATGCATAAAGTTCTAGCTAATCTGCACAATACATGCCTAATTAGCTAGTTAATGATGGCAATTAGTGGTCTTTTGTTTGTTCTCCCTTCATACTAATCTCCAATGACATTCTATAATTTAGGATTATCTTCTTATCTCCACTTCTTTATTCATGTTATTGTTTACATTTTCTTTTAGCCTATGAATTAGATTACTTAGGTCTAATTAAATTTTGTTTCTCTTTCTCCGTGATCTGCAATACCATTTTAGTTTTTAAAGTTTCTTTTGTATCACAAAACAATGTTGATCTATGCCCTTGCTATGTCAGTATATATGCGTGTGTTTCATCTATGATTATTGTCTGACATTCAGATGCACCCACGCCAAAACTAAAACTTAGTGCTAACTATTATTTTTTTTTACCACATGTGCACCCCCTTGCTAAAAATTATTAATGCACCCACAGATCCAGCAAACCAAGGTTGAGCGGCAAAGGAAGAGTTTTAATCCCATGCCAGCTATCAAGCATATCATATATCCCTAGCTCGGTTGATTAAACAAAGCCAAAGTCCTAATAGTTGCATGCAAAAAGTATATTATACTCCACTGTTGAAACCAACGTATTTTAGCTTTTCTCACATTTTTGTATTTTAGCTTCAGTGCAAAATCATATACCGAAAAAAATTGTGCACCCTATCTTTTTTGTCTAAGTTCCCATTTGGTAGACCTTCAATTGGATTAAGCTATGGCTCTGGCTCCTCAGTGTACTATAGTAGAAAGCCATTTCTATCTATCTTATTAAAATGAACTAGAGGAGCCACTAGAACTACTATTTTTTGTTTCACCAGCTCAGATGCCTTCGTGCACTATAGCAAACAGTCGGAGCCATGACAAATAATGCATGTGGACATGCCCGCCCCACTTCTTCACTGGTAAAAGATGTGCACGTCAATAGCGAGACATCTACGATGACTTCGTCAATCTCGAGATTACCAGTCCAACTTAGTATTTCAGAGGTGTTTATTGGGATAAAGTGTATGTGCCTGCGTTTATAGGGATGAGTGTGCGCTCGTGTATACGAGGGTACGCCAAGATATGTACAAACTCGCGTGATAGGATATGGTAACATTTATAAAATATAATATTTAAAAAAAATCATGAAACCGTCAAAATTTACGAATTATATCTAAAATTTTGTTAAAAGTTTAAACTTTACTCGCACCCCCTATATTTGGCTCTAGGTTCACCACTGTTGACATTGCACTGATTGATGAACTAGCTTTAACAAATCATATTACAAGGCCTCCAAATATAGTATACCAGATTAACAAGTGTAATGCTCACTTTGGAACGTGAAAAGGTAACTGTGGTGGTCAATATTTTTCCGGATGCATACTGCTGAAAGCATCGGCAACGGGCTTGCCTGCCGCTTTATAATCCACGATCGTATAAGCCGAAACGAACATGCTGAATGTCACCGCTGCACACTGACACGCGGGGCAGCCACTTTCGGCTATCTGGACAATTGACATCGCTCTCTGCATAATGCACATCCACAACTCGATCCACATCCAAAGGGGAGGGGATTGTGTTTTTGGATGTTTCGTCAAGTCAAGAGACCAAGTGGCATGTGATGCCTTAATGATGGCTGCGTGCTTTTACCTCCTCCTATCACCATTTTTAAATTATGTTATATTCTCGTAGGGTTGAAATATATTATATTTTATAGGGAGCATGTTCAGCACCACATAGGATACCAACTCTGGAAAGTACAAAACTACCACAATGCCCAATAGTACATGTCACACTGTTTGTTACAAGTCACATTTCAGCTACACTTATGAACTGTGATCACACCAAGCACCAATGTCTATCTGCCTCGGTACATTTTTATTCTAGTACCTTTTTCTATAGCTACAGGATAGATTATTTTAAATAAGAGGTACAATGCTGAATTTTCTTCAAGCCAATGGCTTGCCCACAGGAGTACGCAGGTAAAATAATGCAATGATGTCCATTTTTTTTTATTTATGTAGGGCCGAAAGAAAGTTTCTTATGACAGTACTTTACCAATGAAACTCATACATAGATACACACGTACTCCCCGTTTGCACGTATTTAATGCAGAAAGCCAGCACGATGAAGTACTTTATATATATACATACAACATATCGTTGAATCATTGACAATACTCGGACATTTATTCCCTTTTTTATGATTTAATTATGTGGTTGGTTAGACGAACCAATATCGTTTACTTCGTTTTGTTAATATTTTACCAATTATTATCGTGTTTCGGTACCAAACATGTGTCATTTCAAATTGATAGCGGTTCCGGTTACTGATGTGTACTCGCTCCGTCCCTATTTAAATATCGCCGTGGAAAAAGTGTCGGTCAAACTTGAGAAGTTTCACTAAGTTTGCAGAAAATATTAGCAACTTTTATATCTTAAATAAATTTATTATTATAAAAATATATTGAGTAATCTATCTAGTGAGACTAATTGTGTATTATAAATATTAATATTTTATTTTACATATTTAGTTAAAGTTAAGTATGTTTGACTTCTTAGGGAGTAGCAACGACGAATAAAAAGTGGCAGAGCGATTATGTTAGTACGTGCGTCAGTGCTAGCGCCCGGACGTCCAGACGAACGCCCGCGCGTTGCACTCCTTTTTCGCGATTCACATGGGGCCCACGCCGCCCGAGCGACAAGAAGGGAAGGGGGCGGTCCCTCCGATTTGGAAGGACCCGGCCGCAGCGTCATATGGATGCCCTACCGGCGCCGGGAGAAGGACACATCGAGACGATGTAGCAGAAGGCGAGGAGGAGAGATGCAATACCCGATCTGCTTTTAAAACATCCAAATACAATAGTTGCAACATACGTCTAAAGGCAGATAAAACACTTGAAAAAAATACCTGAAAACACTTGAAAACATTGCAACCATACGCAACATTCAGATAAAACACATGCGATGTATGTGTAAAACATATACAACATCCAGATAAAGACACTTGCAACATGCATCCAGAAAACACAGATGAAACATTGGTAACAGACCTTTGCAACATACCTGTACAACCATTGCAACATGTGCAACATCCCGATCTACTTTAGCTACATCGATCTGAAACATTTGCAACATATCTCTAAAACATCTGAAACACTCGAAACATACACTTGAAATGTACATGCGCTTTCAGCAAAACATGGCAGCCAGACGGGCGGAGCACGACACAGCATGATCCCGACGGTCGGTCGCGGTGGAGGAGGATGGCATCGGACGGGCAGCTGTGCGGCCTCTAGCGATAGGGCGCACGCGGTGCTCGCAGTGGAGGCGACAACGGCAGCCGGGTGGTGCGGCCTCGCACGGCGAGCACACCACGGCGGCGGTGGGGAGGAAGGCCGGCGGGAGCCGGGAGGCGCGGTGGAGAGGGAGGCGTGCGGGAGCCGCGACGGAGCCGGTCGCGGAGCAGAGTCGCGGTGATGCATGCTTTTTTTTAATCTACGGTGACGGGAGGGTAACATGTAGAAATGATAGATTTTGAACGTCGGGTCCACCAACGGA